TAAAGTGATTGTTTTACAATTATTATCGTTCCACTAAATTTAAATAAACTTATCTAAAATCACATGATGAGGTCCATATGTGTACTATGGATTACTCACAGTGCTTTTCTACTTCAGTTGTTTATCATTTAAATTGCTGGAAAATTTCCCAAAGAGCACTTTTCCTCCATTAATGCATTTTCCCTAGGTGTTAATATGCAGGTTCATATTAGTATATATAAAAAACAATTCCAAGGAATTAGCCTCACCTTTTTATACAACAAGGAGCTTACAAATCTTGTTTTATTTTACTGTTGTAAATTCAAATAATTTTTCTTTCTTTGTAAGAAAACATTTGCTTCACTATAAATCAGATGATGGGCTCTTTAAACTAAACCCTCCTAAGATGGTGGCAAAATAGAGTCATAAAAAGCAGAGAGGAGAGTGAGCTCCTCATTATTCATTAGTGGCATTCAGGATGAGCTACACAACCATCTGTCCAAGATGCTGCAAAGAGGATTTTCAGCTTTGGCTGGAAACATCCTTTCTAACTTTGATATTATATCATTTTGACAATATGCCTGTAATTCTCTTAGCTCAATACAAATCCAACATTTAAATTGTTGGAGAAAGATACTGTGCATCTTCAAGGTTTCCAAATAATTCACATCAAAATAATTTTAATGTCATCAGTGGTACAAATGCTCATGTCTTCAAAAACACAATTAACTCACTGCCATCAAGTCAATTCTGACTAACAGTGACCATATAGGACAGAGTAGAACTTCCCCATTAGAGTTTCCAAGACTATAAATCTTTATGAAGCAGACTGCCACAGGAAGTGTGGCTAGTGGGTTCCCGCAGGAAGTGGGTTTCCCGCAGGAAGTGGCTAGTGGGTTCGAACTAACAATCTTCCGATTGGCATATGAGCGCTTTAACCACTGCAGTAGCAGGGCTCCTAGAAAACACAATACTTATTATATTCCAGAGATACGTGTATAGGTTGCCCACCACCTAAGTGAGTACAGAAATCAATCTATTGCTCATGACTGAATAGCCAGAGCTAAGGAAGGGATGAAACCAGTTCCTTTTTAATTCCCAAGAAAAAGCAGTAAAAGTTTGCTTGTGTTATAATATTAAATCCAAACAGCCAAGTAATTATGCTATCTACAGGAGGCCTAGGCTCTTCCACTGATGACAATATAAGTCAACAAGCAAGGCACTGTAACAGGAGTTGTGGTGGCATAAAAAAGACATGAGGCTTTACTGACTTTCTGACTATTCTCTGCCAGAGGGCATCCAAACTTTTAACTAAATTGTTGTTGTTGTTATGTGCCATCGAGTCGGCCCGACTCATAGCGACCCCTCCTTGGGTTTCCGAGGCAGTATCACTAC